TTTTCCTAAAATATCATCACTTAAACACAATTAAAGCATAATCAATCTTTTAAAGGTATAATAAAATGTAACATTTAGCTATGAATGAATAATTTGCAGTGATTGAGAATTAAAACAGATATTATGGATACTTACATATAAATTGAAAATAATTTTAATACCAAAAATAGTGTTTTAACCAAATAGTTTCACACTGGAGGACAATAAACCTAACAATAAACCTAATGACCTCGCAATGTCCACATCATTAAGATCATCAACTAAACCTTTTGGAGGAATTCATCCCAAGAAAGATACACTTCCTCTAGTCCAGTCGGTACCCAAGCCCAAAGGTCATCGAGCCAAACCAATAAACTCAATGAAAACGTCTATTATTTCAACCTGTAACATAGGACCTCTTTCGCTTAATCTTATGTGCATACACGCTTCACAATATGGATCTGAAGTCACCTTTCACAAACAAACCACAATTCCATCATTTGACCACTCTGAAAGACAAAATAGGATCCAAATTCACCAAAATTTGTAAGCAAACCCAATCATATATATATAAAAACTTTTAGAACATGATTTCTAAATCAAATTGAGTATTAAAAATATTAGCAAATCTGTGTCCCTCTCAGAGTTGGAGTAACCTACCACTGCTTTAGATTAGTTTTGGATCGGTACTCATTAACATAGCCTCTACTTAATCGATCCCAAGTAATTCATGAACCTGGATGTCATAAACCATGTATTCAATTCTCATAAAAATCAAATCACAGACCACCATACAACTCCAATCAGATAGATGTTGGGGAATGCCCTCAAGAACAACGTACTCAAATTTGGTCTCGATCGGAGTTCGTTTCACTTTTATAGATTCCTCTTCGCCTTTCATCTTCCTTTCTCTTCTTTCTCTCTCCTTTCATCTCTGTTTTCATTATGATCCTTCTTCCCCTTTATTGGTTCACCTCTATCCTCATTTCCATTATCGGTTCAAAGTTATTTGATTGTTAATGTTGAGCGTTTGAGTGTAATGTACGAGTACAAGTTTCTTTTAGAGAGTTAGTAAGGTTCCTATAATCCTCTATTTATTAAATAAAATTTAGTATTACATCTTTGTTAAAATATTTCTTCAACTATCAACTTCTTCAATCTTAGTATGTCTATACTCTCTCTCAAAGAAAGGTAAAAGTTACTAGACTGTAGTGAGCACAGAAGGACGTATTGAAAGATAGGAGGCGCCATGTACTTGTTCGAGTAGCTTAAAGATAAGTTATAGCATTCGACATCTAAGCAGGTTTCTGGAAGCAAAGGCGAAAAAGGGGAAAGCAAGAGGAACCCTGAAAGATGTAAACATATATAGTGTTGTTTATATACCTTAAAACTCTATAATTATTTGCATGATAAGTTCTAATTGAAGAATTAGACGTGAACTTTATCATAATAGGAATATACTAGAAAGGGAAATTGAAAACATTAAACCAACAAAAATGTGGCCTAAAATCAGCGCCACTAACCTTATTAATTAAGAGTAGTTACTCTACGACTTGGGGGACTAGAAATTGAGATAAACTATGGAAAGCCTTGTATAGGTTCGTGCAATATTGCATTGCGTAGGGGTAGTTACTGTACTGTATTGAGCCTAGGGGATAAATAGTATAATTTATCTATTAAAAAAGTAAAAGAAATCTCAAAGTTAAAGGATCAAATTGAAACAAAACAAAGTTCAATAACTAAATTGAAACAAGTGGCATAGTATAAAGACAATATGTGTTGCATGCCCTAAAATTTATAAGAATGAAGATAAACAACTTGGTTCAGCAAAAATTCTAAATAGTTGGAAAAATACTTATGTTTGGAAAAAATTCATAGTGCACATATGACAACTTTTTGTAATTATTGTTGGAATCTAGAGAACTATCACACACTCAAACTCAAAGTCATGTTTAATATTATTTTTCTAACAATTATCACATTCAAACTAGTGCTTCACTTAATAGTAGTTTAGTTAGAGTTACTAGTAATTGATTGTTATATTTCTAATCTCATTGTGCATCATTTAACATTTAAAATAACTCGCGTCTCTCTTGTACATGTCAATTGGTTATTCTGTTTAAGCACTAATTTCTTCTTTTCTTAAGAAAATATATGTAACACGCTCTTCTTTGACTTTGTATGTTCGAAAATTGTCCATGTTTAGCTTTTGGAATTAAACTGCATTCGTAAATGGATGAACTGATGTGGGTCCCAATCACTGGTAGAAGTACGGTGAATTTAATTGTTTAGAATCAATCTTTATAAGTTTTCTTTCCGAGTCTTATTCTGTAGAAATTAGAGGCAGAATGGGTATCCAGGTGGAGGCTAATAAAGAAACCATTTTATCCCTCGTAGCAAAAATAGCAGCAGAAACGACAGTCTTATCATACAAGAAGACACAGCTCAAATTAAGTCTCCTGAAACTGTCGGTGACACCACATAACTTCAAAGCAAAATGCATTGGAAAAACTATAATATCATCTAGGATGTGCTAGTACTCAATTTTACCAAATGAACAAGGGTACTCAGTTCAAAAAACTCAACACACGCAGAACTAAAATCAGAAGTTGAAACCCGGTGCTTGAACTAGGCTATTCCCACCTTCAGCTACTTGCGTATTTGCTTCACTGGAACCACCTTGAGAAGTTATGAGCTGGGTTCCCGATATTGCTGAGTGGTTTTCCGGTGAAGCCGAGCGGTTTTCTGGCCCATCGCTTGGGAACACAAGTGTTCCTTGACTGTACAAACTGCTCAACTGATGGAAATAAGGACATGTCCTAGAGTCAAGGGACCTCTTCTTGTTCTCATCTTTGGTCTTCCTAAAGTACTTGTTTATGTTCTCCCATTTCTCTTTGCATCTCTTTGCGCTCCTCTTGTAGCCCCACTCCAACATACCTTGTGATATTCTCTCCCATAGAGGACCCTTTGCTCCTTCTCTTTCTTCAACATTGCTTGTAAGACTGCACCTCAGGTTTATCAGTGCAGAGACTTCATCTCTTGGCCATCTCTTACCAATGTCCTCTCGCTCATTCGATGCAGAATTAGGGTTTCGAGGGACTTTACATACTGAAGATAGAGTTGATGATACTGGGTTGATTTGGGTATTGGAGGAACTAAGGTTTTTTGAAGATGGGACTAGAATAGATGAGGTTTGTACTTCGAAAACATGAGCAGAATGAACAGAAATAGGGTTTTGAGGTTCAAGGGTTTCAGATACTGAAATGGGTGTGTGTGGGTTTTTCTGAGTAGTGGAAGAACTACGGTTATTTTGGCCAACTACCATGGCATTTGAATCAGCTGCTTCAAGTTTGTTTTGGCTACTTAGCTCATGACCTGTAGAACTAGGGTTTTGAGGTAGAACAAAAGATGGTGAAGTTGGAGAAATCAAACTGTTTGGTACCTTAAGCAGATCTTCAATCTTCTTTCCAAACTCAATGATTGTGGTAGTTGTGTAACTTGATGATTCACTTTCTGAAGAACTTGTATATTTCTTCAAGAACTCAATGATTGTGGCCTGTCTATCACCTGCAATGGATTGTTCATGTGCCCTATCTTCAATCTCCTTGTTAATCCTATCCATTTCTTGCTTCTTCCAAGCTTCTTCTCTTGCAATCTTTTCTTCGTCTCTCTTCACCATGTCTTCAAGAAGCTTATTATGCAACTCTTCTTGTTGAGCTATCATCTTGTTTACAACATTCAAACAAAAACACTTAAACAGCTCAATCTTCTGTTTTCTTTTTCTCTTCCTACATTTGCTTGATTTTTCCACCATTTTCTCATTTTCCTGAGATGGGTTTACTAGTACTGCTTCATTTCTTGAATTTTCTTCCAAACCCTGAGGCACCTTCTCTTGTTCCTCATTTGGGTTTTCCATATTTTGGTTCTTTGCTGCTGAAATCTGAGGCTGAGGGCTTTCACCATGATAGAGGTCTTCAAGGTCACTGAAGATCCTATAGTTCTTGTAGGTAATGTTGTTAAATTGCCTGCTTTCTTCTTCATATTTCTCCTTGCAGTTCTCAGCACTCCTCTTAAATCCCATCTCTGCAAGTTTCCTGCTCCAAGCATAAATAAATAAAATCTTCATTGCCTAAATGAAAACATTTATTCTCTTTATATTACCACTTTCACAGATAAATATATTAAGGTAGGTGTCTCTCTCTCTTTCTCTCTCTCTAACACACACACATACAGAGGGGCACTCATTTATTTGATACACATTCAAAAATACAGACAGCTCAGCGAGAGCTGAAGCTCATGAAGTTACAGCTGATAACAAACAACAACAAAAGATTCAATCGATAAAACAGGAAGTCCAGCTCAAAATACTGATTAATAGTACTTCAAGATTCGAAAAGTAACAAAATATATCCCGGACATACATATATAAACAAAACCCTACTTCACTTTATCATCAATCCCTTGAAGAAACAAGTAATACTGAGTATAAATAGTAGATGTATTACATGTATGTACCTTGAAACATGTTCCCAAGTGAATTGTGGAAACCAATTCTCCATACTAGATCTGATCCTCAACAGTGCAAGAACTTCATCGTTCGACCACGGATCGATCGGTTCCGGCATTGATCTCTCTCTTTCGAGCTGTAAATTTGTTGGAAGTGAGGCACTTTCTTCCTTATCGGCATCTTTGTTGGGGGGTGATTGGTGGTCCAATTGGTGAAGAAGGTGGGGGTGTTGAACTTGAAGTCTTTGATGGGAAGGGTATGGATCAAAGCTTGGGAAGGGTGGTGGAGCCTCATGAAGAGGGAAGGAGAATGGAATAGGCAGTGATGTTCTTGAGGCAATGAATTGGTGGAACTGGTCTGGGACTCCATCAAACATGTTTGTGTGTGTGTTCTTTCTTCTCTTTACCCCTCTTCTTTGCTCACTGTAAAATGGCAAAATCTTAACAAACAACTCATCAAAAAGGCCCCTCTCTCTCTCTCTCTCTCTCTCTCACACACACACACACACAAACAAAAACAGACCTCATCACAAACACTGTTAAAAAAAATAATGCTATTGGACTTACAAATGAGTTATAACATAGTTATATAATGATGTAATAGTTAGCATGATTCAATAGTCTTATTATAATCACAGTTGTTAAATTTTTTCATTAATACCATATCACTTAACATATTATTAAGTCAATAAATTGAATAAAATTTTTCAATCCAAAAAATATTTATCACTCTTCAATTCTCCCTCTCTTTCACACACAGCACACGTACTAATCAAATCTCTCTTTCACACATACTCTCTCTCATACTCATCAAGGTGTTTGTTTTCTACTGGAGTTGGGAAATGGGTGTCCCAAGTCTTTAAAATGGAGTGCTAGTACAGTCCAATCAGTGAACAGGTGGGCAGGTCTTCCAATTGGAGGGTGCAATGCACGTGCCATATGCACACGTGGGTTGAGCAGTGAGAAATTGATACTTCAAAATTTTTGGGATCTAATGGTCCTTCGAATCCTATGCAATAGGTGATGCTGATGATGGTGTAATTAACGGCAACATATAGCAGGACACGTGAATGCATGCAGAGACTGGGACCATTATTTATGGGAGGGAATTTTTATGTAGTATGAGGGACACTGTGACTGTTCTGTACGCATCAGCGAGGGCCGTTGCTATTGGAATAAACAAAAAGAAGAAGAAGAAATTAAAAAATGAGCTGAATAAAGATATGATGAGCATTAAAAGACAGTACATGACGATGAATTGAAGGATTCGGCTGAAGATCTGATGAGCATAATAAGGCAGAGCATATGACATGATGAAATGGCTCCAGCAAAACGAACATCAACTTTTTTAAGCATTTTCTATGGTGTTACATGCTGATTAGGGTGGTAATATTTGACACACATGACAATACCATTACATGTGATATAAAGTTTGTAGGTTGGGGTTGAGTATTTCTACATGCGAACCAAAAAATAATATTAAATGTTAACACAAAAAATAAATTGATTGAGTTAATATTGATGATACCAAAAGAAAACGTCCAAATCAAACAAAAGGTCAAGCCAAGTCATCTATGGGTATCCACAAGACAAGTTATGTCAGCTAGTAGCTCAAGAATTACTAGAAATTATAAAGAGACTTTCACCGGTAAAAACTACCTTGGGCAAAAAGTCTTTGCCTCTAGAAGGTCATATCATTATTTCTAGAAGGTCGTATCACGCAAAGAGTCTTTAACGATCAAATATTTCTCAAATATTTTTTGACAAATCAATTACAAAAACAACGATTATCAATGCATAAAGGGTAAGACAATATGCTGCCCTAAAAAAAGAATGAAAAACCATATTGTAATTATCTCCTTCCTCAAGCAATACACAATCAAGGAACAAGAGTTTCCATTACAGTGAATCACTTACTTTTTTGTGCATTTTTTACTCATTTTATCTCACTTTTTGTGCATTATTTACTCATTTTATCTCTCACCCAACAGAGCTCATTTAGTTCATTCACCTCATGCTTCTAGGTTTCTATACCATCAGTTTGACACTATCTGTGGAAACGATTTTCTTCATTCTAATCAAATCTTCATCGATTGATTGATAGTTTAGACCATAAGAACAAGCCAAAATCCTAAAAACCAACCTAGAGTACTTGCTCCATAAGTCCCACTGGTTAATCAACCACAACAGGGGGGGCCAAGAAGCCCTCAAGCAAGTCATGCGGTAACTTCTTTGGCAGAACCAACAAATTATATAGCTTCTAAAAACTCAACAACAACCACTAAACGGCGTCACATTCAAATGATTAGCCCATCATCGACACGTCTAGGATTCTCAAGAAGAAGAAGGGGAGAGCTACACTAGTGAAGGTGCGAGGAATGATCCTCAAATTCCACTACGTCCTCCTCTTTTGAATTATTACTGGGAAGACAAGATCAAGGAGGTCCAGGATGAGCTGAGTAATATGAAGAATATTTTCAAAAACATAAATCCCATCTCAATGGGGGCTTTGGTCCAGCAAACTTAGTCTTCCTTTACTTAAGAAATCCAAATCTTCCCTATCCCATCCAAGTTTAAATTGCCTACTTGGATGCCTTCGATGGCACTAGAGATCCATTTGATCATTTGAACACTTATAAAAATTTGGTGGAGTTACACGGTTACCAAGACCATGTCTAGTGCCCAGCCTTTGCAATCACACTCAAGGGCTCAGCACTGACATATTATAATAAGTTGCCACTAGGAAATTTTAGCTTGCTCAAAGAGTTTTTCATGTAGTTTGCCACTTCTCAACATCAAACAAAGGCCAGTAAAAGCGCTAAGAAAGTACATGCAGTGTTTCAACCTTGAGACTCTACAAGTAGATGGCCTCAATGAGAAGATGGTATTGGTTGCATTTATCACCAGGCTCTAACCTTCAGAACTATTGTTTTCTATGGCTAAGCATTCATAGATAAGTATGGCTGACGTGCTGGCCAAAGCTGAGAAGTACATGAACAGAGAAGAAGTTCTTCATGCTCCACACATCTCTTATACTTTAATAGACCAGTAAGGGGGCAAGAAACAAGAAATCTAGTCCTAGGAGGAACAAAGACCTTCCATATTAGAGAAAAGGAGAGGTACGAGACCAGGTTCGACCACCCAAGTAGAACTTCGAACCGATGTTTGCTCTTGAATGTTACATTCCACTAAACTTCTCGGTAGCATAGGTGTTGCATCAAGTCCAGCATAAGAAGCTCCTCAAGTAGCCCCCTCCCCCCAAATGAGATTTGACCCTTAGTAGAGGACTATGAACAAATATTGTAATTTTCACGAAGACCATGGTCATGACACCGACAATTGCATCTAGCTGAAGTGAGACTACCTCAGGAGGTTTGTAGCCAGTGATGTAGATAACTGAGTTAGAGACTACCAAGAACCACCTCAAGTCAGGTAGTATAATCACTAGCCTATAGGGGAAATCAAGGTCATCTTGGGAGGATTCACTAGTGGAAGAGCTTAGGAAATCTATAGCCTTCCAAGTCCATCCCAATATACACAAGCACCCTCATGAATATCCCACCTAAGAGGAGCTTCAAATAGGGTGACCTAGAAAGATCCACGTCGTGGAAAGCTCAAGCCAAACTAGAGAGGACCATACCTGGTGAAACGAGTGGTTAGGCTTGGGAATTATAAACTAAATATTGAAGAGGACACTTGGGCATATTCTTATGATGCAGAACACCTCAGGAAGTATTACCAGTAGAAAATTCAGGTTAGTTCCTCAAACTTTCTCTATAAAAATGTTGGAAGAGCTCGCTCTTTAGGTACAACTACCTCTACTTACACCCTTTATTCAAGGATATTTTTATGAATATTATTGTCTGTTATAGTTGGGGGAGAGATATTATGGATCTTCCGTGATGATGAAACTCGAGGGATACTAGAAGCTACCTAGAGGAGGGGGTAAATAGGTTAATTGAAATTCCCTTTTGACTACTACCAAATTTTAACCTAAGTCTGCCACAGTTACCTCTTCACAAATTAATTTAGCAATTAAGTGTGGGAGCCCCCTTTCAAACATCAACAACCTAGAAACCCATGAAGAATAGTGTAATGGATTTGCCAATTTTACTAATAAATGTAAAACCCAGAAAAATTTAAACTTTTTATGAAAAAAGGTAAAATGGTAATTTATCACTACAGTGCGAGTTGGAATCGTCTTGCAAAATCTAGTCACCCTGTCAAATTTCGTCGAATTTTGAGATAGTTTTATTTTTTACGTTTTTCAAGGCGACGGGTATCGGGCGACCTCAAAAATGCCAAAAAAAAAATAAAAAATTCTAAAATTTTATTATAATTTAAAGAAAGTTCATATAAAATATTTTGAACTTGAACCGAAACGAAATTTAATCGTTTCGGGGCGAAAACAGGCCCGAACAAGTAGGGGACACGTGGCGCGACTCGAGCCAAGTCTTTAAAATTATAAATAGAGGTTTGAAATCTATTTTTTTTTAGATATTTGTCTGCTGAAAACCAATGGGCAACGTTGGAGCTGAAGGAGAGAAAGAAAAAGGGAAAATCCAATCTTCTTTCTCGGATTCACAGAGTTCCGTCGCTCGGATCAACTCGGCTAAAGTTCATCTCCTTGACGAGGGCTATGCGTACATACCAAAAAGAGTGGGTTTCACCGTAGATCCAAGATGATATTTTGGAGAAAATCAAAGCTTTGAGGTTGTTTTGGTGTTATAGAAGTTCTCTACACTTCTATTGAGGTAGGGTTCTTTCTACTTTGGTTTTATTCCTCTCCTTTGGGGCTGTTTTAGGGCCGGTTTAGGGGCTGAAACTATGGACTGTTTTGGGGTTGAAATGATGGACCATTTTAGGTTAAAATATGGACTGCTATGTGGTTGTATTTTAGACTGAATTTGGAACTGTTTTATGGCCTGTTTAGGGCCAGTTTTGTGGCTGAAATTGGGCCTGTTTTTATGGCTTATTTTGTGGCTGAAATATGGACTATTTTGTGGCTGAAATATGGACTGTTATGTGGCTGAAATGTGGGTTGTTATGTGACTGAACATGGACTATTTTGGGACTGTTGAATGACATGTTTTGGGGCTGTTTTGTGGCTGAAATTGGGGCTATTTTTATGGCCTATATAGGGACTGTTTTGGTGACTTATATAGGGGCTATTTTGTGGCTTATATAAAGGTCGTTATGTGGACTACTACATGTGCGGTTATATGGTATATTGCACCTTTGTGATTAAGTGTGTTATTGACATAAAAGTTGTGATAACATGCTTGAAATTGTGATATGAAAATTGTCAATGTATATACATGTTTGTGTTATATTGATATTGTGGAGAATTATATGAATTATATGCTTATGATATAATTTTGTCATGGAATATGTAAAATGTATTGATATTATTCATATGTCTTTCATAGTATATTGAATATGTTATAATTGTGCAATGGGATATCATATTGCATA